AAAAAAATGGCTCCATTATAATACTTGAGTAATTATTCAAGGGGTTGTCACGGTTGGAATGTTTGAATACTTGACTAGCCAATCAAATCAATTCTTCACTTTTAACTGTGAGTGCCCACGGAATACAGAAAAGTACATTGTTGCACTCTTATTGGCTGATATTTGAATGGCACTGAGGTCTGGAATTCTTCCCTGCATGTTATGTTTGAGCACATGCAGGCATCCCCCAGTAGTTTAGCGATGTGCGTATCATGGCAGTTGGTAGCAACTGCGTTAGGCATCATTCATTCTACTGTGGCAGTAGTTAGTGTCAAGTTTTCCTTGTTCCAGTGTGACACGACGATGGCGAGCGTCGCACATAAAAATGTACTTTCAGATAACACTCACTATGGGCATCTAGATTACGTTGTACTAACTACGCAAAAATCATGGGATCTGCTTGTGTAATGTTCAAGACTCCCGCAACTGCGCGCATTTCGAATCTGCGAGATAGAAAGCAGCGCGCACGCTCTCAGATTGCGCATGATTTAATGGTGGCGCGCTGCCTTTGCGGTAGTCTGACGTACGTATTAGAATATTAACATGAACATCAAATGGCTGCAGCAACAGCCAAGCCGAAGATAGCTTGAAGAGGTGACGGTCGTGTCCGAGTAAGATGAGGTATAGCTCGATTTGGCGCAGCTACAACCGAGTGTATCACTGGCCTGGTCTCGTTGATAAGATCTGCCGAGAACGACCGACAACATTCCCGAAGTGCCTCATGCTGGAGCGAAGATGTCTACAAAGGATTAGGGGGGGGGGGAATTATTGACTGGATGGTTTGATCCTGTGGGTGCTTCTTACAACAGCGATGAATTATGTCCCTTTGTCGTGGTTGTAGTACAAGCCGATCTGTCTTGGTTGTTGGGCGAAAAATGAACTGTAAAATAGACATATCAACCGATGCCAAAGCTACACGTTGAACAAAAAGAGATCCATAAATTCAAAAGTGCTACATGGAGTTGGAGCTGTGCACTCTATTTAAAATGCTTATCTTTCTGATGGTTGACGAAGCGCAGTGCCAACAGACCCAGAATACGGAAGACAACGATGCATCCGATCACGACGCCAAAGTTGCGAGCGATCGTGTCGTGCTCCATGCCAAAGTACTCTTCCGTGTACTCTTTCACAGTAATGTGACCAACATTTGCCGTATGATTCGCCATAGGCTGGTAATCGAGGGTCGAGCCAACGTTCTCGTATATCTGCGTCGTCTCATTCCACGTCGGCAACTCGTCGCAATCCGCGAAAACAAGCGCAAACCGTGACGGACAAGGGGAACTTCATCGGCGAGATCGTGTACAGCCACTTGTAGCCCGAGGGGATGGCGTACGCCGGAGGACTGAAGCCCATAAACAAGATGAAGACCGAATTCACCAAAACGCCGATAATAGCAGCCACTTCTTCGCTCGGAAGCGCGTAGGCGAACATCATGCCCATGTAGACTTGCATGAGGATCGAAAGCGACAAGATCAACCAGAACAAGACGGCGGGGACGAAGCCTTGGAATCCCACGAACGGGTAGAAGATCACAGTGAAGATCAGCGAACTCATGAAGCAGTAGGGAATCTCAGCCAGCGTCGAACCCACGAAGTACCAGAACGCATTATACGTCTGCGATGCACGTTCGCGGTAGAACGAGGCACGTTCCGAACAAGAAAGCGGTAGGACACTCTGGAACGCCATAATGGAGTTGAATAGAGCAGCGATGAAAACCATCCCGACACCCGAATTTAATCCCGAATAGGACGCGTAGTCGGCACTTACGAAAATAAGTCCGAAAAGAACAGATGCACATATCGGTAGTGCAGGCTACGCATCCATAAACAATGTAAGTATTATCAGCCAGCTCAAATACGAGTTGCAGTCAGGTGAAACGGATCGTCTACGGCTGCGCCTGCGTATCGGCAATGCTGTTGACAAGTTACGACAATGCTATCTACAGGATCGGCGTATATCGATAACTGTGATGACAGCCTAAGTTCATAACGACAATGATGTTAACACGAACGGCGTCCAAACAAAGGACTGAACACCCCAAAAGCGCATCCGGCGCCAACTGGAGTAGCAAATACATGTAGCAGAGACTCACTTTACCTTTTGCCAAGAAATACACTTCGGACCTTTTAGGGAGCTTCGCCGGCTCCCCCATCCGTGTCTTCATTCTGCAAACACTACAATATCGAACTTTGCATGGAACCGACACAAACACGTCCTTGCAACAACTAGCCATCCATCTGCTGGCATGTTTTGCCACTGCATGCGTAACACGTGAATCGATTTAAACGGCCGGGTTGACGCTTTTTGGGCGTCAATATAAAAAGCTTCAGCCGTGTAGCTTTTCACACCTCCATATCGGCTCCGAGATCAATAAAGAATTTGAACTAATTTTGTTGGTAAGTCACCAGACGTGGGTGCATAGAAGTTCTTTTTTGCGCACTGACAAATTGTACAACACTTTGAGACGCTGTGGTACTGATGCACAACTCTTGAATGGCGTTTGCATTTTACGAAAACTAGTCTTGATTTATCAAGTCGATCTACCACTGGTGTTGCTTTTATCGATTTGTTCACTAGTTTTAGCGTTCTGTGATACTGCACTAAAATAGGTTGTTCGTAGTTGCAACACCGGAAGGGGTGAGAAACGATTGTCAGTTCGAAAACCGTGGATGTAAAATCTACTGTGCAACTACCAAAGCTGTAAAGTGAAATTTTAGAAATACTACCCATCTGTTTTGAAATCATCCAGTTAAGAGCTAATCACATACTTCTCTGGTCCGCTTCAAAATGACGCTTTCATATGTTTACCGATAACTTTGAAGGCTGACCTCGGCAGAAAGCGGTAAGCACACCATTGAAAAGCCCCCGGTTTAGCGCACCTGAGCATATTTTTTGTTGCACTAGCAACAGGCACCATGCGCTCAAACTCTCCGCAATTTATATCCCATGAGGTTTTTTGACGCAGTTCAGTCAATAATTAGTGATATTACACCTAATTTTAAGGACGATTAAATTGGACGATTAGCTTCCATAGCACCCGTGCACACAGAAACGAATTAGAAGCTCTAAAAATTGTACGCGAAGAGGGCGAGGTTTATTTCCGAAATCCGGGGCATAACGGTGAGCCACCAATTAAAATTAACCAATCAGAAGATAGATAGGAATTAACCTAATATTTATGCTTTCCAAAACATGAAATTAGCTATTGAAGATAATTATGAATCGAAAAGCTGGCTAAACCCTTATTTTCTTGACACTATTGCGGCCGAGGCCAAATTCCTCCATAGCCGCTCGCACAGACCCCCGGAGTAGCTTGCTGCGCACACTGCGCACGGCAAGG